CCAGAAGACCTACACAATTTTTTTTTTCTTTTTGATTTTTTACCTGGATTACTGAGATGCATCAGGACATTTAGGGCTTTTGCTAATTTTAAAATTTATTAGTGGATTAGCACTTGCTAAATTTAGAAGCGCTGTCTGAGGTCTATAAATGCTAGTGATCAACGTTAATGTTAACAGCTGAGGCTGAAATCTGTCACACATTTTGTTCATGTGTGTCACTGATCCACCAGGCCAGTGGTTCCCAAAGTTGGGGTCGGGACCCACAAGGGTCCTGAAACATCAAGGTGGGGTCCTGAAAATATATATTTTTGAATAATCACACACAAAAAAAGACAACCAAGAACATTTTTTTGCTTTGGTGTTACAAAATAATAAGATTGGTGTACTTAAAATGGACAAAAACAGCATAATAAATATTTGACGTGAAAACAACGTTAATGAACTGACAACAGCTGGGGACACAGGCCTCTGCTGCTGGTATTTTGTGGGTCAAACGCTGAAAGGTTTGGGAACCACACTGCACCAGGTGACAATATGTTGACAATAAATGAACCCAAATACAGCTGTGGGATGAAGACAAGTCTTAAGAGAGCAAAAATACATCTTGTGTTGTCTGTTAAGAATGTCCATGGGTTGACTGGGTTATTTTAGTGCTTTAGAATTAGCTTCTGCTAAAACTTTCAGTGCGTTAGTGCTTTTGAACTGGGGCACCTAAATATTTGAGCTAGTGTTTTAGGGCTAGCGGAACTAATTTTTCAGATTAGTGCTGCCCACCAGTGACGGGATGTGTACAAACAACACTTTTAGAGGCAGTCCAATGCAAGATAGCCGCCACAGCCAATAGACTTTAGCACAAAAAAGGTTTATTATAACTGTCAGTTTTACACATATTGAGCTAAAATATTATACGGTAGCAGCTGAGGGTCTTTTGCAACATAAAATATTTAAATCTGACTTGAAAGGCGGTGGGTGATAGGCAGTTCCTTCAAGGATCACAAAGGCCTTTAGTTGTTTTGTTGTTGTTTATAAGCTCAGATGTTACCCAGCATGAGTCTGGTGTATATTTTATTATTATTATTATTATTATTATTATTATTATTATTATTATTATTATTATTATTATTATTATTATTAATTTATTTTAGGAGGGGCCACAGATGAGGGTCCATGTCGTCACGAGGCTGGGCGCGGTGACACATCCTTTCTCTCTCCGCCCTGAGGTGTTTGTGTACCCAGCCTGCCCTGAATASTGTTTGCGTGTCACCCTCACACTTTTTAACCAACTGACATTTAATCCCACAAGTCATTTATTTAACTCCCGTTTTAAAACGCCAGAAAATTTTTTTTTTAATATTTAAATGCCGCGGAAAGCCACTGACGAAAACTCAAAGAACGTCACGCGATGCAAGAAAAAAAATTTGGAGAGCGTGCGCGCGTCCGCGGCACTCCTGCGCTGCGGCAGTTGCCAGGGGAGATAGGGAGGGGAGGAGTTTTGATTGGCTGAGGTGGACCTGTTGCCATGACGACGGCTAGGGGTTTCGGTAGCGTTGCCGTGTCGCGCTGTGTGCTCCGCGCGCTGCGTGCATGGAGGAAGCAGCTGCTGATCTGATCTCTGACATTGTGTGTGTGTGTGTGTGTGCGAGACATCCGAATAAAACTGCGCATGTCTTTTAAAACATACCGAACCGGGACACGACTTGAATGATCGTGAGTATTAATATTAATGTCACATTTTGTTGTTGTTTTATTTATTTTCGGCGGGTAGTTTCGGCAGGAAACGAGACGCGGCTTTTCGAACAGGCTTAAAAAAAAAGTAAAAATTTCGGTCAAGTGACTGAGAGCAGGCAGCGTGGCAGAGATAAGCGACAGCATGTGGCCAGCTAGTTCTTGTTCTCCGTGTTCCCCCCTGGAAGAGGAAACGGTGGGGGTATTTATAGAAACACACAGAGAACAGCTCGGCACGAAAACAACCTTAAAACCCCAAACTATTATCAGAGTTTAAAACGSTAACCTGAAGCTGACTCATCGAGCCGCGGCTAACGCTACTTCTCCTCGGTSTCTGTTGCTCAGACTAGCTAAAGCTGGCAATGAAACACGGTGAACTTATCTAGTAAACAAAACTCACCTAGCTAACCGAAGATAAGCCACTTTAATAAGTCTGTTTCGTCAGGGGAAAAAAGTGCTATATCGGCTAACTTCATACTCATTAAGCTAACTTTAGATTTGTGCGCGAGCTGCGCTTTCAGGTTATCTTCTCCACTGGCTTTTAGTCRAATTCTGTCAAATTGCTTTGGTCAAGTCAGAATATCTGAAGCTGAAATACACGCCGATGCTAAGTCATTTTTCTTTGTTGTTTTACCGGGAGAGCCTCATCTTCCTCTTTTTGTTTACTATCTTTGAATAGTCATATCTGAATACAGAAAGGGGTTAGAAAGTATTCTGGCTAGCTGAGCACATGATGTAATGGATTATCACAAGATTGTCCCAGATTCTGGGCTCTACAAATAATGTCAGAGTGTAGAAAAATCTGGCTGTGTGCATTATGAATTCTGAGCAGGGTTTTTTTTAAATATATATATTTATTTGTTTCTGGAAAGTACCATAGAAAGATGTACACAATCAGTAATGTACTTAAATTACAGTTATTAATTAAGAGCCCAGCCTATCACCTGCTGCCTTTGAAAATCATCTTATGTTGAGAAATGAGGAAGTTCCAGTTCTGGTTAAACCAGGGGTCTGCGACCTTTACGTGCTCCTCGGCTCACAAATAAAATGTGTCCAGAGCTGCAAAATGAGCTACAACTGTGATTATCAACTGGTGGTCCGTGGGCCTTTTCAAGGCCTTTTCGTTAACCTTTACGGCCAGCGGAGGCGACATAAACCTGAAAAGTATAATGTTAATTTTCAGGTTTGTTATTATTTTTACACTTCAGGTCTGAAGAAAAGTACATCCATGCACAAGAAAAATACTGTCTGTAGTTTATACAGAATTTCATAAAAACTAGTACATTATTATGTAGTCCTAAAGGTGTTTAAAGATAACCTTGATGGATTTGAAAGATCATAGAAATAAGTTGGGTTATTTAGGTAGACAACAGGCTAGCATGAGCTAATATGTTTTTTTGTATTAGTATTTTTGTAGTATTGATCACATACAATTTATTAGTGTTGTGAGTATATAAAGAATCACTTATGTTTGGTCACATTTTCAAAGAGCCACTGCAGAGGGACCAAAAAGCCAAATGTGGCCTTAGAGCCGGAGGTTGCAGACTCCTGGGTTAAACCTTAAAGAGAATGTAATGTGAGATCTGTCAGCGCTCAGGGTATGTGCTGAGGATGACTGTCAACTACTACCACACCAAATTAAAGCCCACTAGCTGTAAAGTTGACTGAATTATAGCCATTTTTGTGTTGGCTATCAATGTAGTGGCCATCAATAATTGGACTGACTGCGAAAGTTAATTAGTTGTAGATATACATCCAATAATTAGTTTCTGCAAGTTTCGTTAAAATCCATCCTGTGATTAATTAGATATTTTGCTAACAGAGTAACAATATTCGAAGTAAAGCTTGTAATAAGTAGCACTTGGCATATATAATGTGAATGATTCTCAGCTACTACCACACCAGATTTTAATAATCTTGTATTTGCTAAGTTTGCTCACCTGTGTCGGCCATCTTGAAAGGAGCTGACCCTAAAAGTTGATTAGTTGATTATTACGTTCACTAATTACTAATTGTAAGTTTCATTAAGGTTTATTTACGAGATATTTTGCTAACGCTACAGACACATTATCACCTTCACCTTTGGACTATAATAAAGTCGCCAGTGTTCACAGTAAGTGTATTTATGTTGGCAAGCAAAACAATAAATAAAATAGTCACTTTTGTTGCTTTTATTTAAAAAAAAATGGCTCCTACTACCAGCTGCTGGTCTCACGAATGCTTTTGTTTCGGCAACATACCAGGCCACGCCAGCGACCAGTTGACTGTGACAACGTGGACGAGTTGTAGAGCAGGAATACTTTTCTGTACCAGAAATCAAACTTTATTTACATCCTAAAGTCTCACAAATATAGCCGTAAAAGTTATTATTGCGTTATTTTAGTGGAGTTAATAAAATACGTTTTACATTTCAAGCATAACCGTGCCCACTTTACTCAACTTGTCCACTTTTTCTAACCCCCTCCCTCAGCTGTCAGTATCGCATTTACAGAACTGGACAAACCTCATTTAAATTATGTGCTCTGAACTCTCTCTCTTTCTGTATCTGTGAACAAAACCAGTGTGTTTTTTTTAATGTTTTTGTGAGTTTGGGACTTTGCTGTACACTGAGGGTGCCCCCTGCATTGTGCTTGGCAGTCGGTAAATCTCTGGTAATAAATAGAGGACGGAGACAAACAGGACCCCGAGGGTCAAAGAAAGACAAAGCAAAAAGAACAGATGTTGTCAATCTGCCATTTTTTTGTGGCCAACATGGTCATATTGTGGGTCAAAGCATCTGTTGTCTTTGCAGTAGCAAATATCCACTCGCAAACATGTTTTTAATGTACAGCAACTCCTGAAGGGTACGTCTCCCAGAATAGACAAGGGTATCTCAACTGTACTGACATTCAGAGCTATAAATAAGACCTGCAGTAACCCAGTAAAGTGAGTATTAGAATGTGAATTGGGCTTAATGGCAACAAGGCTGTAAAATGTCAGAGCTGAGTTATCTATACATGTATACATGTTTGAGCAGCTTCCAGTAGCTCTGTAGTGACAATATGCAAACTTAAACCACCGCTAGTTTTCAACTTGTTTATGAACTGGAGATAAGGCTCTGTTTTTATAAATGTTCATTTTTTTTTACTGAAACTGCTTTTAAAAAGACTCGTATAAAAAGATTCAGGAAGTTTTACAGTTGCAGGCTGAAAATGAAACTTACAACTCTGCAAGGTGACAAATTCTTACATGAGGTTTTATAAGCCTTTGCTACATTTTTGACTGTTACCAAAACATCTCACGACCCATTGGACGGGTTTCAATGAAACTCTCAGGAAATAATCAGCCTGCACATCTACAGCCGAACTTTTCGAGTCGCCCCGAATAAAGATGGCTGCCACAACCAGTTGACCTGAAAAAAAAAAAAAAGACACAAATGGCTATAACTCAGACACTTTTACAGATATTAACCCAAAGATTTGTGTGCTGGAAGCTGAGACAGATCCAAAACACATAARCTGAGAAATAACATGACAACATCAAGGAATTCTAGGACTTTAATTGTATTTACTATTCCGACAAAAGAAAATAAGTTCTGATTGTGATTTTCTTCATTTCTACACCTTAATCTTAAGCTGAAACAATTTAGAAGCTTCATTTTTACAACTTGGCAAACAGTTTTGCTTTACTTTACTGAACAGTTGCTCCATTGTGACAGAACAGGAAGATGAGCAGAGGATGTTCGACAGGTAAACAACGGGACAAACAGAGCAACAAAGAGCCGTGTGTTCAGTCACCAGACGTTTTTATACCTTGTTTTTATACATTTTGTTTAATACAGCTTAATATGGCAGTGGCACATTGTTGAATGTGACTTGCTTTCTCAGAGGTTTTAAAAAAATATTATCTGTCTTATCACAGCACTTGCGCACTTTGACCTGAAGCAAACGAAAGGCAGAGTCCTTTGAAATCCGTCTGACGCTGAGTGGTTGTGGTTTGGAGTTTGTTGCGAAAGCTGATCCATGTGGCAGAAACTTTACGGATTGCTCAACACACAACCTAAATCTAGTTTCCCATGATTTGGCTGAATGGAAAAAGCTCGAGGCTTTATAATTGCTTGCTGCTCTGTGAAAAAACCTGTCATTACCAGGTTGTTTGTGACTTCGTACCGAATGTTTTAATGGTTGAGTTTTGGTTGCTTTTTATTCTTAATGTAAATTTAGCAACAGAAAATGAAAAAAAAAAGGAAGTTTGTGATTGCTCCATTGAAGTGACCTTATTTCCATAATTGTGTTGAAAAGCTCCTTTTACTGTGATTTTTATARGCTGTTGAAAATTGAAGATCGTTTAGCAGCAGATGAAAAAACCATATTTTCAGCTCTTTTTAATTCTGTGTTTATTTTCCAGTCTGAAAACTAAAGTAATCCTGAAAACAATAAAAACAAAAGTTTCTCACTCTTTATTTCAGATCAGCCGATGCTCAGTAGCTTTCAGTTCTGTTGGAGTTTATACAGTTCTGTAGTATTTTGCTTGAGTAGTCACCCACACAGCCCCCGTGTGATTTAAGGAGGGGGACATCCCCGGGAGGATGTAGTCTGCTGTCGTTCAGGGTCCGTGACATTCTGCWAATCAAACATGGGTGGCAGCCCTGAATTTGTGCTGCCAACCTAAACGCCTTCAGAGAGAAACTTCGTGTTGTTTTCAGCTGTGTGCTGCCTCCACCTAAACTCATGATTTTAGGCCCCTGCTGCTGAAAGGCTGGCGATAATGATTTTTTTTCAGTATTTCACGAATATTAGGAGGAAGTTTAATGAAACTTTCAAGAAATATTCATATGACAGTTTAACCTTTGGACTCAATTAAAGATGGCCTCAACATCCAGTTTACTTTAGAAAACACAAATGGCTATAAYTAATTCAGATAATTTGACAAATATGCTAAAACTTGTAGTTACAGCTGAGAGTGATTACTAACACATACTACAAATAGGTCTGTCACAATAA